CCCCGTTTGATTCTCATTTTTTTTTTTTAGCAAAAAATGTATTTTGGAATAATGATTTGATGGAAAATGTGTGGCTAAGAATAAGAAAAAATTTTGAATTTGCATGTAATATTATTTTATTGAAAAATGTACAGTTGAAAGAAGAGAGATACATGTATTAAAAAAAGAAAAAAAGAAATCAAACAAGGTCTAAAATTTAAATATAACAATTATTTTGTTAAACTGAATATATATAATTATGTTGTATTAATTAAAAATATTTATCAAATGATATTGTGGTCAAGTTTTGTATAATTCAGATGAGGTGCATCGAATTTTTACAATTGCATTAAAACCGTTAACATGTAAGATATATTAGTTTGGTCAATTTAGTTACAAAATCCATGAATGCCACTCAGGAGTACATTTTTCCACGAAGAGGTCATGGGTTCGAACTCTCTCCATTATTCCATCTTAGTTTGGTAAAAATTGTAGAATTAAAAATGTTTTGACAATAAAATTGTTAGGAGGGGATTCGAAACAGGGACCTTTCACTTGAAAATACAAGGTAAGGCCAACTGAGTTACAAGACATTTATGAAAACAAAAGAACATACCAAGTATATAATGTTAAAAGTTTCTTCATTGTCAACAAAATAAAAACTCTTCCTGTGGAATCCAGCGTGGGCGGCCGCTGGGGCTCGCCGGGTGTTGAGTCGACCACTAGGTATCATGAACATTAATAAAAGGGGAGAGAATTTCTCATCTTCACAAATATGACTCTCTTAGCTTCTCACTGAGNGTAATGAAAAGTTTTTGATTTGTGTGTAATAGTATTTTATTTGAAGAATGTGTGGTTGAAATGAAGAATGGGAATGAGAATGAGAAATTAATGGGTGCCAAACGGGGGCTAAAAATGTTTTGACAATAAAATTGTTAGGAGGGGAATTCGAAACAGGGACCTTTCACTTGAAAATACAAGGTATGGCCAACTGAGTTACAAGACATTTATGAAAACAAAAGAACATACCAAGTATATATTGTTAAAAGTTTCTTCATTGTCAACAAAATAAAAACTCTTCCTGTGGAATCCAGCGTGGGCGGCCGCTGGGGCTCGCCGGGTGCTGAGTCCGCCACTGAGTATCATGAACATTAATAAAAGGGGAGAGAATTTCTCATCTTCACAAACATGACTCTCTTAGCTTCTCACTGAG